TTGATATCTGTTCTAATGGAAAATCCAACTTTCTTCTTTATAACTATTTTGAGAAAAATTCAGTTTGCCTTTAGTCAAAATTAAAAGAAAAATCATTAGGATGAAGAAAAGGTGAAGCAAGCAAGCAAGCAAGAGGTAGCAATGGTAACTGGAATTGTTTGACCCTAGTGGTTACAAATCGGACTCCGAACTGCAAGGTCAGCAGTTCGAAACTACCAGCTGTTCCGTGGGAGAAAGATGAGGCTTTCTGCTCCTGTGAAGATTTTCAGCTTTGGAAACCCTGTGCAGGGTCGCTATGAGTCAGAACCGACTCCACGGCACTTAACAACAACAACAAGGGAAAAGAGTCTTGGTGTGGTGGTGCAGGAAAAGCATTCAACCTCAAGGGTAATTCAACCACGAGGTCAGAGGTTCAAACTCACCAGCCGCTCCTTGGAAACCCTATACCAGATCACTATTAGTCGGAACTGACTCAACAGCACTCAACAACAACAACAATGACAACCATGTGTTGTGTGGCACTGTAGGATAAGCCCTGGACTGCTAACCACAAGGTCAGAAGTTCAAACCCTCCAGCTGCTTGGTGGTTTGAAAGATGAAGCTTTCTCCTCCTATAAAGATTCACAGAAGCAGAAATCCTATACAGGAAGTGACTTGATGGCAGGGAGGTGGGATGAGTTTTGGAGAACCATGTGCCAGACATAATGCTAGGCTTTGCATGTATTCTTATCTAATCCTCACAACAGTACTGTGAACTAATTACTGTTATTAAGCCCATTTTATAGATGAGAAAGTGAGGTTTTGAGAAGTTAATTTGCTCAAAGACTTGAACTGGTATAACCAGATCTTCCTTCCTTATTTCCTTCTTTAACTTTTATCGTGTATGTACATACCACATTCGGAGTCTTAGCGGGGTTAAACAATTTGCTAAGATTGCACAGTAAACAAGAGGCAGAGTAGGATTCAAATCCAGGTCTATGAGACTCCAGAGTCCCTGCCCTTTATTGTTATTTGTTATTAGATGCTGTCCAGTCGGTTCTGACCCACAGCAACCTTATGTATAACAGAACAAAACACCACCCAGTCCTGCGTCATCCTTAAAATTATCGCTACGCTTCAGCCCATTGCTGCTGCCACTGTACCAATCCATCTGCCTTTTTATTCAACTACATTTTCTCATCACAGTTCTCTTTGCAGACTTCAGGAAACTCATTTAACTTTCCTATTCTCCCTTAAATTTACATTACAGTATGGCAAACCAGTAAGGAGTGCTGGTGATACTGTTAGACAAGTACTGGACTGCTAACCAACCACAAGGTAGACAGTTCAAACCTACCAGCCATTCTAAGGGAGAAAGTTGAGGTTGTCTGCTCCCATAAAGATTTAGTCTCAAAAACCCTATATCAGGTTGCTATGCATTGGAATTGACTCAATGGCACTGCGTTAGGTTTTAGTTTATGGCAAGCCGCTTAATAGAAAGGGATACAAAGGTATTTTCCCATCACTGTCTGAACTGAGTCATTTTTTAAGCAACAGCTTTGCTAATCCTCCACAGCAATTCTACTGAAACTTTGGCTAGTCCAAGTCATAACTAAAGCCAAGGATCTGGGAGGTCACCCCTCCCCAGCTTCCAGCAATAGTCCCAGCTGATTGTCAACAGTAGTAAGGAAGCTGGAGAGCCTCATAGCTCAGATTAGTGCCCAGTCAGAGGACAGGAGAGACAAGTGAGTCTGTGGGAAGATAATGGACATGCAAGCCTGCCACAGCCATGTAGAAACAAGAAGATGTGATGATATCAGGAGTCCTAAAATGCCATGTCTTATTTAGAATTTTTATACTAATTTCAAAAAGCAGCTCTGGTAGTGTAGTAGTTACAAGTTGGGCTGTTAACCTCAAGGTCAGAAGCTCGAAACTACCAGCCGTTCATTCCACAGGAGAAAGATGAGGCTTTCTGCTCCCATAAAGATTTACAGCCTCAGAAACCCTACATAGGGTCACTATGAGTCGGAACTGACTCCACAGCACACCACCACCCCCACCACTCATTTCAACAGTGCTACTTTTGAAGTTACTTTTGGAGTCCTGGGGTGGTGCTTTAGGATAATGCACTGGACCACAAGGTCAGTTTGAATCTTAAGGTGGTGATTCAAACCCACCAGCCGCTACTTGGAAATCCTATATAAGATCGCTATGAGTCAGAACTGATTCTAATGCACTCAACAACAACTTCTGAAGTACAGTCCTGGTGTCACACTGTAGGATAAGCGCAGGGCCACAAGGTCAGTTTGAACCACAAGGTCGGTGGTTCAAACTCACCAGCTGCTTCTTGGCAACTCTATACAGGGTCCCTGTGAGTCAGAACCGACTGGATGGCACTTAGCAACAACAATAACACTTTTGGAGCAGAAGATACAAGTCTAAACATCAAAATGCTAGTTGGAGAAATATGAATAACTGGTGGTCGTGTGCTGTGGAGTCGGTTCTGACTCGTAGCGACCCTGCATAGAGTTTCTGAGGCTGTTAAATCTTTACGGGAACAAAAAGCCCCATCTTTGTCCCATGGAATGGCTGGTAGTTTCGAACTGCTGACCTTGAGGTTAGCAGCCTGACTCATAACCATTAGGTTACCAGAGCTCATTATAGGATGATGAAATGATGAGTAATGTTTTTCTTTTTCTTTTCCCAAAAACCTGATGATGTGATTTTAGTACTTTAAAAATTAAAATAGTAAAGTTACCTTATGCAGGGCAGTTAATTATTTATTATGTTTTAACCTCTACCTCATAAGGACCAGCCTTGAGCTGATCGTTCTAAAATATTCATGCACTTAAAATCGAACTAACAAAAGCACTTTTCCCCTCTTTGATTAAACTATTATAGAAATGGCTACAGAGGACACATGGACAGATGGTGCAACACAGACCATATTCCCAAACTTTGGCTTTATTTTCCTACATTCTTTTTCTTGAGTGTAGAAACAACAAATTAGAAGTGCAGAGCAAAGGTAAACTGACTCACAGGGCCACAAGATTTTGGATGATAAGGAAAAATGGTTCAGGGGAATGACCTAGCATGGGAATGAATCACCAAACAAAACTGTCTTCAGCTCCATAACTGCAGAATCAACTCCACCAGCTGGCACTGTTGGTCCATATCCACATCTCCCTTAGGCTACTGTAGCTGCTGTTATAGTATGTGACCTCTAGGGACACTCTGCTTCACTTTGCAATACTGTTCTTGTCCTTTGAATCCAAATAACTCATTGCCTTGGAGTCAAGTCCAAATCACCTGTTGCTATGGATTGGATTCCAACTCATAGTGAATCTCTAAGGGCAACTTCCAAGGTTGCAAATTCTTATGGAAGAAGATTGCCACATCTTTCTCCTGCAGAGCAGCTAGTGGGTTTGAACTGCTGACCTTTCTGTTAGTAGTGAGTACTTTAATCATTATTCCACTACTATTCCATTAGAGTAGTCTATCTCAAACTCCTTCTCCACCCTCCTCCATCTTTTATCAGAATTACAAAAAAAGGAAGTTTACTAGAAAGTTGAAAAGGAAAAACACTAAATCATGGAAATAAATAATAGTAGTGTAGTGGTTACGAATCGAGCTGCTGCTAACCTTAGGGTCAGCAGTTTGAAAACTACCAGATGTTATGTGGGAGAAAGATAAGGCTTTCTGCTCCCGCAAAGATTTACAGCCACAGAAACCCTGTACAAGGTTGCTATGAGTTGGAACCAACTCTACAGCACATACCACCACCACCACCATGGAGAACATATTCCTTTACAATAATGTAACACAAATCTAAGCCACAAACTATTTCCTGGGAACCCAGATTGTAAATTTCTTTCCTAAACCTAGACTGTTACAGATGTCAAGTGGAACTACTTGGGGTCCCTCCTCTTCCCCTGCCATGTCTGAGAGGAGTCTTGACCCCAATTCCTTGTCTTCTCTCTAGGTAGCTACTCTGGAGGCTCTGAACGAGCTCCTTCAGCTTTCGACTGTCCCATCCTGCTGACACCCTCTGTCTCTTGGGATACTGAAAAAGGAACGTATTTCTCTTTAGGACCCAGAAGTCCACCTCTGGATTTAGACCTTCCTGTGTCTACCGACTCGATGGCACTTAACAACAACAACATGTCTACCTTACAGAGAACTGCCTTTGCCCTATTCTGTAGGCCTCTTTGACCCCAGGTCCAGGAAAATGTAAGACTCAGCTTCTCCTACCTGGAAGTCAACCTTTACCCAAACTTTCTAGAGCATCTTCATTTCAAATATTTGAATGCATTGCCCCAGTAATCACACACCTACCTGTCTAACTTGTCCCTGTTTTATAGAAATACAATCCCATATCTATGTGTTTGGTTATTCTCACTGCCTCTATTCTCACTAATAGACAAAAGGCCACAAGCAACAGATAGCAATTTTGGAAATCTCCAGAGCTGTAGTATAAGCACTGAACTACTAACTATAAGGTCAGTGGTTCAAACCCACCAACTGCTCCTTGGAATCCCTATACAGAGTGGCTATTATTTGGGACCGAATGGTTAACCCTTAACAACAACAGCTCTATGTCTGCTCCCCTATCAGGCAAGCAGAGCCTATATCCTTAGTCTGTCCTGAAACTCCCAGCCCCCAACCTCTGCTTCCTGTGCTGGCCTTTCTCTTAATTTCCATTATTTATCTGAGAGATGACTCTGATTCAAAAAAACTCATTTGCAGACTAGAGATAATTGACAAACCGTGAACCCAATGAATGCTCTCTCTAGCCCTGCCTTGGATTACCACTGTCCTTTTCCCCAGGTACTCTCTGAACCCCAACTCTGGAAGTGATCTTATGGACTCCTAGTCATTACACTTTACAACATCAAAACACCGTAACCATCTAGTAACAATAAGACACATACAATAAGAGGAGGGTTGATCACTCACACATGCTCTTACAGGAAAACGAGCAGCTCTCTCTGGTAAGAAAAATAGGAGTCTCCACCCCATCACACACACACAAAAAAATCCCAGGATGCCCCAGAATGCAGTTTCTTTTCTTCATGACGTGTTGTAAAGCACATCAGCTATTCCTTGTTGCTGTGCAGATCACCCAACATCGGGTCACTGAGAGAAGGCAGAGCTTGCTTGCACAGCTGATAGGATTAGGAGATGGTGCTTTGTCAGCCCTGATTGAGTCCCAGAAAGTCTCCAGCATACACAGGTGAGATGTGAGCAGGAGGGGCTGTAGCGGACCATGATGTGTCTTGGCTGTATGCTACAGACATTTTCTCCAGGGCAGCGCAGTTGTATTGTCTTTTCTGTGAAGTTTTCGGTCTGTGGGGTTCCTATCAATAAAATCCTGCCCTTTATATCATTTGTCTGGTGACAGGGATTGGCCACATATACCTCACAGGATTTTTGTGAGGCTCAAATGAGAGTATTTACATGAGAGAGCTCTGGAAATACAAAGTTTTGTGCAATTGAAAGATATAAATCATTTCTAACAAATTTCACATAAACAATCAATATACTTATCCCAAATTTCGGGTGTAATCATATAAATGCATTTGTTTCTCGAAACCTACAATACCCTATCTCCCCTGTTCCTTCCCAGGCCTACACAGCTACATTATTTATCATCTTTAAGAGTTCTATTCTTTGAACGCAATTGCTATTTTCTGAAACCCAACTTCAGTTAAGACATTCATTTTAAAGGAAAACCCACAAAATGACAACATAAGACAATTAAATTAATATTTAAGTAGAAAATGGAAACAATGCATGAGAATATTTTGAAGCAGATGAAAGATGAATATAATATGCTGTATTCGATTATATCTCTTTGATGGTATTATCCTAACATTATAAGACAATTCTTCTACTGATACGAGAAAACACTTGAATGAAATTAAAGGCAGCATAGATATTACCATTTGTAAAACTTGCCTTTTAAAACAGCAGAAAAACAGGCTTGGGTTCCAAAAGTACAGAGCTAAGAGGCGTCTGAATACTAAACCATCAGCCTTTCCTTCGGCAGTGTTGCTATGGTGACAACAGGGCTCCAGCATAGCCTCTCAAAGCCTGCACTTCTGCAGTAAAAGCTTTCACTGCACACATGTTGGATGTTTTAGGCACACTCCCATCATCAAATACAAAGACACATTGGAGGCAGTTTTAGCTTTTTCAAAGCTAAAGTTCTGTCCGTGTTCTTTTTCTTGTACTGATGGGTCCCTTCATGGAATTACAGAAATCATTCATACATACATTCATCCACTAATTGAACAAATATTGTGTGCCTATCTGTGACAGGAACTGCATATGATGACAGGAACCCTGATGAAGGCAGATGAGTAAATGGGGAATTCTAATATGAGATCCAAGAAGCCCTGGTGGTGTAAGCATTTGACTGCTAACCGCAAGGTCGACAGTTCAAACCCACCAGCTGCTCCTTGGTAGAAAGGTGAGGCGGTCTGTTCCTATAAAGATATGCAGTCTTGGGACCCCTATATAGGGTCCTTATGAGTTGGAATCAATTTGATGGCAGTGAGTTGTAAAAATAGACCATAAGCGCTTTCCTAGGATAAATAAAGGTGTCTTGGAAGTAAGGGGCCCCAGTTGATAAGCACTGAACTGCTAACCACAAAGTCAGAGGTTCAAACCCACAGCTGCTCCTCGGGAAAAAGATGGGGCTATCTGCTTCTGTAAAGATTTACAACCTTGCGATTCCTATACAGTGTCCCTATGAGTAAAAATCTACACGATGGCAGTGGTTTGGTGGATTTGGTCTTGGAAATATGTAAGAGGAGAACCTGAGCCTTCTTGGAGGATCAGGGAAGTTTCCTGAAAGACGCTGTCTCTAAAGTGGAACTTAGTGTAGCTTTAGGAGTTGAGGAGTTCCAGCACGGGATACAGGAAATGTCTAGCAAGTGAAATAGCCTAGAGGATAAAGATAGCACGAAATCTCCAGAGTTCTTACAAAGTTCTATAATTTAAGAGGTGTGCATTTATATGTAAGAGAGTGACAGGGTGTGGGCACTGGAAGGGGAGGGAGTAGTTTAGAAGAGGAGTGGAAATAAATGAGATTGGAGTGATAAAAAAAGGTCAGCTCATGAAAGGCCTTTGTACCACAGTGAGGAGATTGACTATTATTAACTGGAGGACAGCCAGGAAGGCATTACTGTTTAAGTGCCGTGAGTTGGTTCTGACTCTTAGTAACGCTGTATAGGGTTTCCAAGGAGCGACTGGTGAGCTTGAACCACCAGTCTTTTGGTTCAAACTGACCTTTTGGTCCAGGAAGTCAGTAATGAGTATTAATCTAGAAACACAGCTTGATTTGGCCTTTTGAAAGATCATTTTGGCTTTTATGGGAAAAAATTGGTTGGAGAGAGAGGAATAAGGGCAAGATAGGAAACAAAGTAACTCTAGTTAGATAAATATGCAATATCCAGGATAGTGAGAAATAATCAGATTTGAGACATTTATTAATGGGAGGTATGGCCATCACCTAGTCATTCATACTATGTGGGAAGCAAGGTGAGGGAAAGGGAGAAGTTAAGAATGACTCCCAAGGTTTTGACTTAGACAACTAAGACAACTCAATTTAGACAGCTCTGGAATTCGGCATCCAGGCTCAATCTAATTAAAGAACTCCTTAAAGACATCTTTTGACCTTAGTAGTTCATTTCTATCCTACAGTGCAGGTCTCAGGATCATTGTTTCAGAAATAATAGATTATACAAAATATTCTAGATCAACACTTTCCTGAGGTCCATATCTGAGAAAGTGATGGATACAAGAACATATGGCTTAATTAATTACCTCCAGCAATGAAAGAGCCCTAATATTACCGCAACCTCCCTATTTTAAAGGTCTAAGTGAAGGAAAAGACATGATTTATGGAGTAAAATCTATTGGGGCACATAAGAAGGCAAATTGATTTCACTTAATGCTGACTTCAGGCTGTCTTCAGTCTCACCCCTTAGGGTCCTAGGCGTGAGAGGTGAGGACTGAGAGGAATGCTGTTTGGAGAGGAAACAAGTATTGAGGGTAGAGGTCCAAATACAGTTTTCAGGGATTGCAGTACTTCCATGTAGGACACAGGAGTGTAAGGGTCAGACTCTTCTTTGTCGACAATGCTACTAAGACTATATTTTCTTTCATTTTGAATAAAGGCCATGTATGGTGCTGTGAGTTAATGCACTGGACTGCAAATTGGTTTGAACTGCAAGGTCGGCAGTTCAAGCTCACCAGTTGCTCCTTGGAAATCCTATGTTGCTATGGGTTCGAACCTACTGGACAGCACTTAACAACAAGATATACAGTTTGAGTTATATCATCAGATAAGATTTAAATATTGCCAAGTATAATCAAGGTCCGTAACTCAGTTGATGGTTCCTATTCTAAACCCTTTTTACAACATAACTGTCTATGTCACCAATGCTTTTTTGCTGCCTGTCATATACAATCCCAAACTTTAGGGCTTCTGAAACTGTAAATATTTACAGAAGCAGACCGCCTCTTCTCCACTGCCCCCACCTCCCTACCCCTCAAGGAGTTGCTGGTGTGTTTGAACAGCCCATTTGTGGTTAGCAGTCTAGTGCCTATCCCGCAGCGGCACCAGGGCTCCTTTGTCATAAAGGGGCATCAGCAAATATTGAATGAACGACCTGGGTTAACTGCCTTTTGGAAAGTACTATTTAATCAGCTGGGTCCAGTTGTTTTGTTGGTTTGTTGTTTGGTTGGTTGGTTGTGTGCCATGGATTCCTTCACTACTCATAGAGGCCCTGTTAGTATAGGGTTTTGAGGCTGTAACTTTACCGGAACAGAAAGCCTCATTTTTCGCCCGTTTAGCAGCTGGTGGATTCAAGCTACAGAACTTGCAGTTAGCAACGCACTAGAGCTCCTTTGGTTGATATATATATATAATCTTTATTATCCCTCAATTTAACAAGGGTAATTGTAAAATTGAGGGGCCAAGAACTTTCATCATAAAGGCAGTCATTTTGAAGGGAGTGGAATGCTAACTTGAAGGTGGTTTTCTAAGCTCAAGCATAGAGCAGTGAGCCAGCGGCTCACTCCTGGCGGCTGCAGTACAGACGGGTCTTCCTCCAAGCAGCCTGGTTTCCCAAGCCCGAAGGAACCGCCTCGCTGTGCTTTTCCTGCGGAGCTACCAACCAAAGGCCCTTCTGATGCAAATCCGCAAAGAATCACAGCCTTTGAAATCCGGAGACCAAGATGCTGTGTCAGATCTGCAGCATTGGCTTGGCCAGTCCGGGAAAAGAGAGAAGAACCGCCGGGTCTCTCGGGTGAGATAATTGTGGGGTGCTGTAAGGAGTCATGGTGGCGCTGTGGGTTAGACGTTCCGCCTGCTAACAGAAAGAAAGGTCACTGGTTCGAAACTACCAGCTGCTCCGGGAGAAAGCTGTGGCAGTGTACTTCCCTAAAGATTGTTGTTGTTGTTGAGTGCCCTCAAGTCAGTTCCGACCCATAGCGACACTGTATAGGGTTTCCGAGGAGCCGCTGGTGAGTTTGAACCACCGACCTTATGGTTCAAACTGACCTTTTGGTCCAGCGCATTATCCCGCAGCGCCACACCAGGACTCCCCCTAAACATTACAGCCTTGGAAACCCTCCGAGGCCGTCCTACTCTCTCCTATGGGGTCGCTGAATCGGAATGTACTATTAGTATTGGGTTTGGTTTTGGTTCGTTGGCTTAAAACCGATTCGGCAGGGAGGGGCCGCGAGGGAGAAACTTTCCCTCTTTCTCCATTTTGGTTCTCCGTGATGTCGCAGCTTTTCTCAGCTCGTGCTTCCGACGCGTACACGGTACAAACCGTGTACCAGGTGCAAAAACGGAGGGGAGGGGATGCCTCCAGGCTGGAGATGCTCCCGACCTTCGCCAGCCCTCTTCAGACCCGAGCTCTGCACGGAGAGAGGGGCACGCGGCACGGCAGGGAGGTGTCAGCGGCAAAACTGGGCGGGCGGGGCGCGCCTCGGCGCCCACTAGCTGCCCGAGAGCCTGCAGGTGAGGGAAGCCGGGGGAGGCGCCCCGGGCTTGGCGGCGGCACCACGTGTCCGGCCAGGGCGGGGCAGCGGGCGCGCCCTCGGAGCCGAGCGCGAACTGGGGAGGCGCGTCGGCCCCGCAGCAACCGCCGCCCGCAGGCCACGCGGCTCAGCGCAGTCTCCTCGCTCCGGTGCATGCAGGTGCTTCCTTCTGGACGGCGGCAGCGGCGACGCGAGGACTCCGCGGGCAGCGGCACGATGGGGCCACTCCGAGAGACCAAGGTAAGTAGGGCACGTCGTGTGGGCGCGGATGACAGTGCCAGAGGGTGGAGGGGAGAGAAGGGCAGCACTGCGGGCAAAAATCTTTACAGGTGAGAGCTGGAGAGTCCATGTGAAGAACGGGTTAAAGGGGGCCCAGAGGGGGGCACATAGGGAGGTAAAGAGACATTCGCTCAGGTGTTGAGACCCCTGGCATGGGGAGGAGATTCCAGAGAACAAGATTTAGCAGGTTGACACAGGATTATAACGATTGAGTCTGGAGGGTTAATCCCATCTGCTGACATTGGGTATCTGGAATCTAGCTTTCAGATGATGTCTCGTGTGTGATGTGAATAAAAGAAATTTGGTATATCAATACTGAGACATACGGACTCTGACCAGTGTTGGTTGAGGGTCTGCAGTTTAATGAGCGGAGTGACTGATATGTGATACCTGCTGGCTTACTGATGTGCGGCACAAATCCAGATACTGGGTGCGGCTCACCGCCCCTGGATAGGGTGTCAGCCTGCGCAACCTCAGGAGTTCCCAAGGCTGGGGCTTTCCCTTCAATTCATGCACTGTGTGGGCCTCCCAGAGGTGTTTAATTTGGCAGTGACCCTTCCTGGTAAACCGCTTGGAAATGAGCAGTAGGTCATGTTGTGAAATGGTGTTTGTTACCTAATTTGAAGCCTTTTTCAATTGCAGAGGTTGGAGGGAGCTGTGATTTTATATACATATATATATATATTGCAAAGAACTCCAACTAGGAATCCATTTTAATAAGGCAGGGTGGTGGTAATTCGGAAAAACACTGCTTCTAGATAATGTGTAGTCTTTGCTAGGCATCCTCTCCACCTCTTTTAGCCTCTGTTTCCTCATCTGTAAATAGGGAAATGAATGGGTACCCACTCCCTGTTATAATCCAAGGTGTAAAGAGCAAATGAGATAATGGTTGTGAAAACATTTTTATGAATTGAAAACATTGCTAAAATGTTACTCTTTTCTACATTTGTTTATTTTTTTTGGTCAAGACTTGGCCCTGTGTATGCAAATACTTTGTTTTTAAAAAGAGAAAGAATAATTTTTCATAGGCATTCTGAAAGGAAAACAAAAGCTAACCTTGATGTAAAAAGGTGGAGCCATCTTAACTGAGTATTGGATTTTTGTTTGCTTTTCTGTTGGCAACAAGCCTGTGTACCAGGATATTAATGAATAATTAAGATCCTGGCTGGAGGGGGAGGGATTTGAAAGATACTGCTATGTGATCTATCAGGAAAGAGTTGTTCCAGTTATAGATAGGGGTCTACTTTGTGAGGAGACAGGGAAGGAAAAAAATCAAATTGTCAAAACTATTTTTGGAAAAGCAAAATGAAAGTCTAGAAGTCAAGTAATAAGCAGGAGTGTGCCGTGAGTAATGAATAGTCTGAGAGCCAAAGCTTGAGTGTGATAGGAAAAGCCAGAGTTGGGAAGGTGAGTCAGGGAAAGAAGATGGCCTTCCAGCAGCTAGACCTTGGAAGTGATTATTCTGGCTGTGTATGTGTGTCAGAGAGGGGTGGAGGGGAAGAGAAGAGACAATATATTTGAAAGGTTAGGTCAGTTGAAAAGTTTTAAAACTCGTTTCAACCCATGCGGTAAGACTACTCTGTCTTTTTGTGAAGATCTAACATTAAAAATAAAATGCCTTAGAAACTGAGCCTTGAAGGAGCAGACAGGAACTCAGAGAGGAAAATGGTCTTCCTTTTGTTTCCTTTTTTATGTCCAATTTTGAGCAGGAACAGAGAGTGCAGCATCATGAGAAAGAGATTTCCCGAAGCCGAATTCCTCGTCTGATTCTTCGACCCCATCTGCCCCAACAACAGAACAAAATATCTCCAGCATCTGAGTCTCCCTTCTCTGAGGAAGAGAGCAGAGAATTCAACCCCAGCAGCTCTGGGCGCTCAGCAAGGACCATTAGCAGCAACAGCTTCTGCTCAGGTACAGTATCCACTTGAATCCTGTATGATGCAGGTACATTGTGAATGGACCTAGACTGCCATTAGGATGACTTGTATAAATCTGTATCTTTTTGGTTATTTGGCCCCCCCAAAATTCAGTAGTTTAATGTGATTCAACCTGATGGACTTCCATGCCTATTTTTATATGCATTCTAGTTTATAATTTATAATTTGAAATGTATCCTTTTATGACTTAGGGAAAAAATGACTTTTTTGTTAAATTCTGGGAGATGTATTAGATTGAATTTTCTGCTTACAACTTCTGTAAGCCTGTGCACTTCTGATTATAGAATCTACCAAGATAAAGAAACTCTTACCTAATGAGGTCAAGATCAAGGAGGGATATAACCGTAGGTCCCAGGCTGGTCTGGCCTTGTAGTTTAGGGGGAAAGAGCACAGGTTTTGTAATCTGCCAGACCTGAAAGCTTAAATCCCTGATCCTTTCATCACTTTAAGCTGTATGATCTCAGGCAAATTGTTTAAACTCCCTAAACCTCAGTTGTTATATCCATAAAATGCCTACCTTGTAGAGTTGCTATATGGTTAAATGAGAAAGTGTGCCTAGATGTCCTAACACAGGATCTGGCATAGTGCTTAATAAATGATTATTTCTCATATGATGAACTAGGGATGTCATTTTTGGCACTGGATCAAGGAAATGTCCTTGAGTTTCCAAGCATATTTGGTTGTTGTTGTTGTTGTTAAGTGCTGTCGAGTCGGTTCAGACCCATAGCAACCCTGTACAGGGTTTCCGAGGGTGTAAATCTTTACGGGAGTAGAAAGCCTCATCTTTCTCCCATGGAGCAGCTGGTAGTTTCGAACCACTGACCTTAAGGTTCGCAGCCCAATTCGTAACCACTCCGCATAGAACCTGTTATATCCATTTTCTAAGAAGGACTTAGAAAAACTTGTGTTCTTTGAAAAAACAGTAAGAATTTAGGTAAAATTTAAAGGAATGACTGTCTTGTGATTAGTGACTGTTTCATAGTGGATAAAATTGTAGAAATCATTTAGGTAAAATATAATTCTAACATTTATGAGAAAAAAGGGACATGTGAATCAGGATGCTATTATTAGTGCCCTAATTTAACAGGATGAAACATCCCATTATATTTAGTGCTACTACCTACATTTTTCATGGGTTTTATAGCTGTGGCTTTGGATTTACTACATTCACAAAATATTTCCATTCCATACATAAGTTATATGTTACTCTGCTGGCTTTTTAGCATGATAGAATAAGCGGTGGACTGCTAACTGAAAAGTTTGTGGTTCAAATCTACCAGCTGCTTCTTGGAACCCTACACAGGGTTGCTAGGGGTTGGAACCGACTCAACCGCACGAAACACCGCTCTTAACAACAACAACGGCAACATGAAGCAGTTCTCTGTGTGATCTGGGAAAAAAATACATAAAAAATATTATAAGACTTCTTGCCATTTGAATTATACAAATCTAACTTAAAGTGGAAATCCAGTGGTGGTTTATGTGATACTTACCCAGGAATTAAAAAAAGAGAAAAAAGAAAAAATGTCAAGCTGAAACAGTTAAGATTCCTAGAACTTAGAATCGTATTTGCAGAATGTAATGCTGTTTACTTTAACTCCGTTTTGGATCTCAAGGCTCTGGTTGTATATGGATGAACCTTGGGGACATCATTTCAGATGGATAAGGCTTTGTTTACACAACTCACTTCACATTTATTTCTGATATTCCCTTCACATAAATTGATTTCTGTTTGACTGCCTTCAAGGAGAGTAGTATTATCTCAAAAAAGGGAAAATTAGTCCAAACAAAACAAGAGAAAGATACCAAATTTGCGTTTGAAAATATAAAGAAAAAACAGTAGAATTATTTATTCTGTTTATGAGTCATTCTCTCCAAGACCCATTTCCTACATCATCCCGCCTTCCCAGGAGGCCTGTCTCCCACTAAAGCCATAAAGCTGTACATGAAAATCAAAAAGAGGTATTGATCCTTCTGCTGTTAACTAGTTGAGAATTGAGTGGTAGAATTATGGGTCTCTAAACCTGCTGCATGAATCTTTAGTTAGGCATCCTCTCCCCAGATAAGATTGCCTCCATCCCTGGGCCTCATTCTGTCTCTCATCTTCTGCTGTTGGTGATCTGTCAAAATTGGAGTCCTGTCCACCTTTCCTACCTTGCTTTCCTTTCCTCCAGAACTCTGGTAAACCCGCAGAGGTATCTGGGGCTGTGCTGATTGACAGGAGAAAGGCATTTGGGGGCATGTTAATGATGCTTTATGAGGTCAGTTGGTATATGGGAAATAAATGGGTTTGGTATTATGGGGAACATTAATGAAGTAGAGAATGTAAAACATGTCCAACCAGCCAGGGCAACAGTGGTTTTAATCCATTCACTTTAACACTAAGAGCAGAATATGTGTTCATTGCTTCTTCGTGATAGTTCAGACAGAGAACAAGGAATGTATTAAACATTAAAAATGCCACCTTTGCTAGGACAAAACTAAAATAACTAGAGGTGTCCGTCGCCATCATAACTCTGTAATCTAACAGGGATCGTTCTGTATTGCCTTCACTATAAATCATGACATTCACTAATGCGGAAGGGAACTTGCATAGGTAGGAGTCTTACCACCTACCAGTGAACTTGTGGAGAAAGATGTTTTTCAAACACAATTCTGTGTATCTCTGTATATATATGCATGCACACAGATACGTTGTTACTGTTCGTTATTAGGTGCCATCGAGTCAGCATCGACCCATAATGACCCTGTGCACAACTGAATGAAACACCGCCCAATCCTGAGGACTCTTGTTCAAAGAGTTCATGGAAAAATTGAATTAAAGGATAATGAAAAAATTTCCATGTACTTTTGAAGCCCCTTGATTTATACACATGAAAAATCTGAATTTGAAAATACCCTCTGCAGAACTGCCAACTAAAGTCTCTCAAGGACATTCATTATGAAGAGCATCATATCCTAAGGCATTCATTTTTGTCAAGAAAGATAATGTAGTGAGTTTACATTAAGTTTACTTGTTACAAAGGATTACCCTTTATTTGGAGAGATTGGCTTTCTTATCATTTGTATTATTAAGAAAAAAATCATGATAGTAGAAGTTCTTCTTCAGCAAAATAAATGACAATTCTGTGCTTTCATTTCCTTCACCATCAGCCCATGCTTTTTCTTTAATTTTGCAGATCTCTGAAATTTAAAAGTCTGGGGCCAATTTTCAAAGCGATCCATCCATTTTAACTTACTCTTCCCTTGCCTTCCCCAGACCCACTCCCTCCCCTCCAGCCTAGACAAGGAATACTTAATGACTTGATATTCTCTATGCTAATTTGTATGTTAGGTCTGTCTTGTTTCAGAGGAAGTATTTGTGTGCAACCTTTTGAAATTCATTTGGGGTGTGTCCCCAAAGAGCTTTTCCTTTAATAGATTCTTAGAAGCAGAATGCCTGTGAAGAGGTTCATGGTTTTGTGCATTTAGTTAGCACATGTTTGTCTCGGACATCATTCTGGTGTTAAAACATTCTATTCCTTGTAGTCTGTTTTTGGTCTTAGTCACTGTGACTTTAGATGGAGACAGTTACATTTATATTTTGTTAGAAGCCAGGTTCCATTTTGTGTGCACAGCATTGTTTATTCTTAATAAATGTTAAGAAATTTAACTTTATTATTGGAAGAAGTAGTGAATACATAGGGAAGTATAGTTAGTAATAAGTTATTTAATAAAAACAAAATACCTGCTTCCATCCCCTCTTTTTTTATTAATCAGGATGGGGAGGGGGGTTCATTTCATTTTTAACCACCAGTGTTTTGACATAAAATCACTGTGTTTGGCATAAACTCACCATGTTTCTGGTTTTTGACTTTCCTGTGAGAAGTAGTAAAGCTCATATTTACGGTTTGTGATCTGTGTGTGGCTTCTGTCCATTTCTCCCCTCCCTTTTTTTGTTGTTAGTAGAGAACTCTGTTTGTTGTCATACCATGACTGAAGCTGATGGCTTTAGTGATGTGTCAGGAACAAGTCTAAGTCACCGGACATGCTAGCAGCAAGCTATGCATTCCTCTTAGCTTAGTTGAGGCAATAATTACCCCTTCGAACTGGGGAAGGCAGATGGATTGCTGGGTTTTAAGCTAGTTCTCCTTGGGGTGCCTTGTAAACATGGCAGGTAGAACAAATTATGCATATGGAACACTGATTGCTTTAAGGGCGACCAGTAATTTCTCTAAGTTATTGCCATGTTTCTAATGTGCACACACAAATATTTGGACAGGTTTTGTGACTTTGTCTCATTGAGAAACATGTACCAGATTAATAAGGCCAGTGGCCAGGATCTGGGGTTCTTTGCAGTCTAATCCTGAGGAATGTGTTTGCAGAAATGACTAGGGAGACAGTCTTCTCTGAGTGCCCGTGACCTGGAGGTAATTATTGTTGCTCTTCGTGGGAGGAACAATTAAAGCAAATTATAACCTGACTATTACCCTACCATGACATGACAATGCCTCCAAAAAATTTCCAGGCCTTGCTAAACAGAAATATTTCTGGTGTGTTTTTGTCTAGTTGAGGGAACTTAGCATCTGGATAGAGTAAGCATCTGAAAATAATGATTAGAATGGAGATGAGCTGCTGAAAGTGAACTGAGCTGCGTTACCGAATTGTGCTGTAATTGGATGACTGCCAGCCCGCTGTGAAGAAAAACAAACAAACAAACAAACAAACAAACAAACACAAAGACCCTATGACTTTAGTATCATTTTAATGAGCATGAGAGCTAGGTACAGTTGCTTAATAGTATATTTCAAACACTAAGCTGCCCTCAGAAATACTCAGTGAATGGAAGAGATTAAAGATGCAATATTTCCTTAAGAATGTGGTAACTACAATGAAAGGGATAAAGGTAATGGTTTATTGCCTCAGCAGTAGGGATTTTGCAGGGTAATGATGGTACAATTGGACTGTGTCTAGAGGCAAATTATGGTACTTAAC